GCAGGACAATTATCCTTCTTCCCTGACCAATATCCCAGAGGGACATCAGGTGCACAGGGGTTGCAGAAACAAGAGGAGATGTAGCTAATGAGTGGAGAGAGGGAGCTATAAATTCACTGTTTCCCAGAGTTTTGCTGTTGACTGTTTCCTCCATGCAGGACTAATTGACAATGGGGGAAGGTTAAAGTTTAGGGCCCAGCACTCAGTAATCCAAAGTTAGGAAGAAGGAAGAAGTTCTGTCGATCTCCAGAACAGCAGGGTGGCTCTAGTTCACAGGAACTCATTATATATTTTATGAATAAATAGAAAAGTCATTTAAGTCTCCAAACAACCAGCAGTGATGAGAATGAAATGTTAATTTCCTCATGAGATCAGTATCTATGTTTTACATGTATTGAACTATTCCATGGTACCCAAAACTATGTAAAATCATTACATGTTATTTAAAAATTGCTTAAGGCAATAGAAATACTAACTATCCTAATTTGACAAATACACCATATATAATATATGTATATATACACACACACCTATATATAATTATCATATCTTACTTCATAAATTGGTACAATGATCATATTTTTTTAAATAAAACATTTTTTAAAGTTTACATGAGAAACATTGTTACAAAATAAAAAGCAAATGAAAAACTGGGGTAAATATGTAATATGTGGTATATTTTGGAAATCTGCCTCATCATAGCAACCATTTTCTATCTATATGTATCTGAGAACATGATATAAGCCTCACATATGCAAAATCAACTTTATTTTAAAAATAAAATTAAATCCAAAATATCAAACAGGTAGATACATACTGTTTCAAACCAATTATCACAAAAGACAACAAAAATGACCCAAGTGTATGAACCACAGATTTAGAAGAAGAAATGTGAGTGACTCATAAACATGAAAACGTGCTCCAGCTCATGAACGTACAAAGGAAAATCACATTGAAATATCAAGGCAAGCTGTGGAAACCTTACCTTGGTGTCTTCTATATTCCTGAGACTGCAGCACCCAGAGACAGAGCCCTTCTTTTGAAGACAGAACCCCAGAAGCAGGAGTTTGTATCAGAAGCTTCTACTTCCTCTGAGCTTTACCACAATCATAAAGCTTCTCTAGAACTGATCTAACTTCAGGCCTGAGAGCGTGGCCTGGTTTACCCAGAGGTGGGCGGGAGCCTCTTCATCCTATCTGTGACCTCGAGCTTGTTGGCAAGTTACCAGAAGCTTCTGCTTCCTCATGAAGGAGTGACTAGGAACGTTCAGAGACCATGTGTATAAGATGTTTCAGCAGTGCTAGCAAATACTGAGTTTAAAATGTTTAATGGCATGTAATGATTGCATGTGCTAATGTGTGCTATGTCAGCCCAGGCAGAGAGCATGCACTGATCAAATCAGGGTAATGAGCATTGCCATTCCACACCATTTTATTCTTGTAGTCCTTACGTGACTTCCAGCTGGATCCTCATGATTTATAAAATAAACCCTATCCCATCTATCTCCCTGGATTGTGCTTCCCGTTATCCAATCTACCATCTTCCCTGCCAACATTCCCAGCCTCTAGGTATCTCTATTTTAATTCAACACAGCTGTAGTTTAGATTCCATGGGGAAGAAAATACTTATGGAATTTCTGTGTGATTTCAAGGGACATCATACCCAAATCCTTCCATTTTTTCTGCAAATGCAGAATTCCATTTTTCCTCATGACTGTGTCTGTGTACACCACGTTTTTCTTATCCCTCCATCCACTGTTGGGAAACAAGGCTGGTTCCACACATGAACAAAGCGAAGTGTCCTGATAAACTTGGTGGGGCCATTGTCTCTTCTCTGTTAGGATTTCATTTTCTCCGTGTTGCTGTTACCATCAAGGATGAGTGTCACTGAGTCTGGATTCTTTTTCTATTTCAAAGTCTCTTCTTAATTCATTTATACTTTTCCAATTAAGGCTCTACTTTCAACCACCCCTGTCTGAATTTATACTCCATTCAACTAAAATTCACCCAGCTTTTCAGTCCATAACTTTATGAACATTTAATAGTACAAGAAAGACCCCAAAGAAAGTCCGGAGGAAGGAGTTGCTTTAAATTTTGTATAAGCAGAAGTAGTCAAGGAGTGGATGGAGGAGGCCAGGCTCTGTGGCCCTCAGGGTCATTCACATTTCTCACATGGCTATTGAAATGGCCCTTCACTGAGAAACTTCCTGAGGAGTGTCCCCAGAGCAACTTTCACACCCATGACCCTCAGACTGTAGATGAAGGGACTTGGTATGGGGGTGACCACGGTGCACAACACAGAGGCCTTCAGTCTTGGCATGGAGGAGAGAGTGGCTGCAGAACTGAGGTAGACTTCAAGGCTACTGCTACAGTTTGAGCCTATGGGTCCCCCAAGGCCTCAGTGTGAAAGGTGAGTCTCACAGATTGGTGCTGTTAGGCGGTGGAAAAACTGTAAGATGTGGGTCCAAGTGTTCAGTCCCAGGTAATTAGGGATGTGCCTTGAAAGGGAGCAGGGGACCCCTGTTGCTTCTTTTTCTGTTTAAACTCCTGCCCACAAGGTGAGCCATTTTGCTCTTCCAAATGCTCCCAGCCCTTAATGATGTGACCTTTGTCACAGGTGCAAAACCATGGGGCCAACCTATCAGGGACAGCAACCTCTAAAACTATGAGCCCAAATACACCCTTATCTTTATAAGTGAATTTCCTCAGGCATTTGGTTAATGGAAAGTGAACTCATTCTGCCAGTGCCAAAGCACAAGGAGACCACCAAGAGGTGAGACCCACAAGGGAAAAGGCTTTGGTCTCTCCCCTGGAAGATGAGATTCTCAGGGTGGAGGTGAAAATCTCAAATAAGAGAAGAGAGTCTCAGTAAGAGGCGAAACAGATTGTGTGACTAAAACTAAGCACATTGATGTTACTGGGGAGGTTGTCTGAACAGAGAAGCTCAAGACTGCGGGATTTCCAAAGTTGTGTGGAAGTTAGAATGTGTTCACTGATGTAAAAGCCATATTTCTAGGTCATATTTCCATCTGCACTGCCATCTCTCTTAACCTGTCGACAGAAGATGGGGCAATAACAATGGAAGGCTGGATCTCAGCGCTCCTTACTGTCCCAGATCTGTTGATTCCTTTAGCTAACTTTTTGCATTGACCTGGAAAACAAGTTTCTCGAGGTCTTCTGCACACCTCCACGGTCCCAGCCCGTCTAGAACGATGCAGAGACATTCACACTACGGGCTGGATGGCAGCCTCTTTGGTTTGATTGTTTTCATTAGCAGAATGTTCATAAGGGTCCCTGGAAGCGCAAGAGAGCTAGAGACAGCATGCAACCATACGGGCGGGGAGGAGAAGTCATGATCCCAAGGGGAAAGAGAAAAGGTGGACATTCAGACTCCTCGCAGTCAGCTATATTAGATAACTACTACTTCTTTCCTGTATAACCTTTAAACATCTCAAGATTAGTTGTCGATTAACATTCAGCAGTGGGAAAGGATGCAGAGATCCATGGGCCCTCCACTCAGTCTCCACAATGGTAACCTCGACATCAACCATGGAACACACCTCAGCCAGGATGCTAACACTGATAATGAGGAAATCAAATCAGCTGCCCAACGGGATACCTGTGTGCCTGTGTTTCTCCTGACTCATTTCAGCCTAAGTGCCTATCGCCTCCCTGATAAAGAAAATGGGGCAAACATACACAATGCGGTACTATTTGGCCACAAAAACAGTGAAATCTTGCCGGGTGTGGTAGGGCATGCCTCTAATCTCAGCAGCTCAGGGGCTGAGGCGGGAGGATCGTGAGTTCAAAGCCAGCCTCAGCAACTTAGCAAGGCTCTAAGCCACTCTATGAGACCCTGTCTTTAAATAAAATACAAAAAAAGGGCTGGGGGTTCTGGCTCTGGGGTTAAATGCCCCTGAGTTCAGTCCCTGATACCAAAAAAAAAAAATTGAAAATGAAATCCTTTCATTTTTAGCAATGTGCATGGAACATTGAGCAGGTGAAATAAGCCTAACAGAGAAAGACACGTGCTGCATGTTCCCCATGATATGCTGAAGTCCAAAATAAACAGTCTACTTGAAACTAGAATAGCTACTGCTGAAAGTTTGGAAGGGAGTGGGCAGAAGGCGGATAACAGAGGCTGTATGCAAATAATGACACTGTGTGCATACGCAGTAACATGGACACCCAAAACTGCTAGTCAGACACAAAAAGATCAAATTATTCCATCAACTCAGGGATACTGCATTCCCTTCTACAGCCACATCCACCCCGCTTCCTCCCCGGTGCCTGACCCCCAAGGACCTCGCATCCATTCACATTTCTATCTCACTGTCCTGGAGAAATGCTGTCTAGAATATGAAATTACCTACTGAGAAAATGCTGGATCCAGTGCCCTGGGGTCTGATTTCCCTGACTGCAGCAGGCACTGTGGACACCGATCTGAGCAGAGGCAGGTCCTGATCACGAGCACGCAGCCATGGCCAGCTAGGAACAGGCTGGGTGTGAAGCCACGTTGTCAGGACGAGTGTGGAGGGAGCCACACAGGAAGGAGACACACAGAGATGAGAAAGTGTCACCACACTTTATTCCACTGTACATTACGCACATAGCCTGGGTTGTCAAATTGGGATTTTTCCCTTAGGAGTAAAACGTATGTTCATATTTAGTCCAATATTAGTAAAATCATTTGGAATAATTTATGTCACTTGAAATGAAATTATTCTTAAAAATATGTCCTTTGGGCTAAATAAGAATTTCTAAGTATTTCTGATACAAAGATGGAAATTATTTGGGGAAAATTAGAAAGCAGCACAACGGAGAGGAGAGGACTGGGTGTCAGAGAGTGGAGAGTACAATAAAGGGACATATGGAATGGAATTGCATGCAGAAGTTGAAATCAGGAAACAGAAACTTCAGGGATAAAATAGAATGACCAAGTTCTGCTTCTACCTTCTGGTAAGACCCCAGTTTCTGGCTCTGAGGCTCTGAGCCCTGAAATCACGGGCACTTCTTCAATCTCAGCACAACTGACGCTTTCACAGTTTCTCTCTCACAGAGTCTTCTCAGAGCACTCTTGATATCCTTGTTCCTCAGACTGTAGATGAAGGGGTTCAGCATGGGGGTGACCACGCTGTACATCACCGAGGCAGTTGCAGTGGAGTGTGAGTTTTGGGTCACAGCAGAACTGAGGTACACACCCAGGCTTGTACAATAAAATAAGGAGACCACAGAGAGGTGAGATGCACAGGTGGAGAAGGCTTTATACTTGCCCTGAGCTGAAGAGATTGCACGGATGGAGGAGACTATCTTGCAGTATGAGTAAAGGATGCCAGCGAGGGGGCCACCAGCCAGCAAGACAGCAGCAAAATATATCACCACCTCATTGAGAAAGGTGTCAGAGCAGGCAAGATGGACCAGGTGATTAAGTTCACAGAAAAAGTGGGAGATTTCCAAATCTATGCAGAAGGACAGTCTCAACATCATTAAACCTTGTAACAAGGAATGAAGAGCACTCATGATCCAAGACACCAGAATCAGCAACCCACATCGCCGGGAGTTCATGATGACCATGTAGTGCAGGGGGTAGCAGATGGCCACATACCGGTCATAGGCCATCACAGTCAGAAGATAGATATCCAGTCCTGCAAAGAGTATGGAAAATTGCATCTGGGTGATGCAACCTGCGTAGGTAATGGACTTGCTCTGTGTCTGGATGTTCACTAGCATCTTTGGGACAGTGTTGGAGGTGAAGCAGATGTCCACAAAGGACAGGTTAGAGAGGAAGAAGTACATGGGTGTGTGCAGGTGGGAGTCTGAGATGGTGGCCAGGATGATGAGCAGGTTCCCCAGCACAGTGACCAGGTACATGGACAGGAAAAGGCCAAAGATGAGGGGCTGCAGTTCTGGGTCCTCTGAAAATCCCAGAAGAAGAAAGTCTGTAATTTGTGTGTCATTTTCTGGACCCATTTAGTTGATGGAACTAAAAAAAAGATGAGAAAAGGAACATGATATGATTATGCACTAGTACCCTGACATACATGCTATCATTTATGTTCTACAGTCAACATGCAAATTTCTGTGTTTCATGTATGAATCTGCTCCCCTCCAGGGATCCCCTTGCCACTATGATTGAGAATTCCTATATCACTTTTAGCTTTTCCCCAGGAGTTTATTCAAAATTTTGAATTTTTTTTCATGTATTGGAGGAATACAATTTAGTTTTGATCATATTCTAGGAACTTTCTAGGTGATGAAAGAGCACAGCCAATAAATAAATATTTTTTTTTTTAGAAAACTCAAATGTTCCTAAGTCTGATGAGGGAGAAATAGCACAAGCCAATATATGAAGGAAGAGAACTAATCATGTGGCATGCAAGAGGAAGGGAAAATAAATGCAGCTGTGAGGGAGAAAGCAGAGATGGAGTGCTTGGGTGCTCAGGCAAGACAAGCAGATAGGTGACACTTGCAAAGAGATCCCCAGGAAGAGGGGGAAGGAGCCACAGAATATCTGTATAAGTGTGCACCAATGCAAAGGCCCCGTGGAGAGTCAGACAGTCAGAGTCAACAGGGAGCCCATGTGACAAGCAGGATGAGCAAGAGAGAGGGACCCGAGCAGGTTTCAGAAGAACAGAGTGGCCTCGGTGGTGCTCAAGACACAGGGAGACTGTCCAGACGTTGTTGTGTTCACAATTTAAGTTGTCTGCCAAGGCACTTTGTGGGTGGGAAGGCACCCTGGTTTTGATCTGGCCTCTGCACTTTGAGTTATCTCTTAGAATGTATTGAGTCCAGGTCCCCTTTCTGTTAATTCCCCTCTAACCCCTAAAGACACACACACACACACACAGACCACTTAAAGGTAAGCCATATGCTGGGTCTCCTAGGGCCGTGTTAATGCCATTCTCACCTCCAGCCACTCTGTAAGAAAGGAAAGGACACCAGGAAAGCTGTCAATGCCAAATGATCTTTCTTCAAATAGATGCACTAGTGATAGCCAGAAATTCCAGTTTATGAATATTTCATACACATGAAAACTAGGAGTTTCCTTTCAGTGTGGCCATTTTGATCCCCTGGGCATAAAGTGATACAAAACACCAGGTGGAGAGTGGCTCAGCGGTAGAGCACTTGCCTGGTGTGCAGGAATCCCTGGGCTCAATCCCCAGGGCTGCAAAGGACAAAAAGAAAGGAGAGAAAGAGAAAGGAAGGAATATAAAAACCTGCTCAATAAACTGAGACGTGAAACAGCTCTGAGCAGGAAGAAGGCTCGTCACCTCTGTGGTCCCCCAGAGGTGATGGGGAGAAAACGACTCCCCACTTCTGTCATTTCAAGTCCTGCCTGCTTTCTTGAGGACTACAAATAAATAAAATTTAAAAAGCAAAAGATCAACAAGAGTCTCAAAAGGCAAGTGTTATCACATATTTTTGGCACCATGACACCTGTATAATAAGCAGATATACAAAAACCAAGGGCAAAGGGAAGAAAACAAAATAAAAAATATATATATAAAGGACAAGAAAATTTGCACAAATTGATATGAAGCATTCCTGTGCCATTCGATATTGATTTGACTGACTGGAGTTTTGTTTCATTTCATTGTTTACTGATACAGGAATAGTACATATCTAATGTATAGAATATGGAATTTCAATACCTATATACTGTATAATGAACAAATCAGGATATCCATGTCCATAATTAACTCAAGTATTTTATAATTTTATTTTGCTAAGATTACTGAAAACCCTCCCTTATAGGTTCTTGGAATTACTCAGTCACGCTGCTGTGGATAGAATACCAACATTATTCCACTTATCTACCTGTAACTTTGTATCCATTAGTCAACTTTGCCTCCTTCTTGTTCCCCTTTGTACCACCCCAATTCTGGAAACTTCTCTTCTTCTCTCCACTCCTGTGAGATCATAGTTTAAGATTCCACAGTGAAAACCAACTGGCATTTGTCACTGTGGGGAGAAAGCTAGACCCAGAAAGGAACTATGGAGTTGGGTTTTATGTGCACAGTGGCAGACAAGACAGGCCCCTTTCTTGATTTCTTGTGTGGTATATTTTCCATTTTATTTACAGCCTTTCAGTTTTGAACTCTTAAGACAAAACCAATGAGCCCAACTCAGTCTTGTTGTGGTCTTCATCCAACAAAGAGCTGTTAAGAGTATATGTTATAAAATCTTCCACACGTGAAAATTCTATCTTTTACATTGAATAACACCCTGGCTAAGGCTTATCCCTGAGAGCATTACATCATGCACACATTTCTTCCATCACATTGTCCAGGATTGAGGATCAATACCCACAGGAACAGACTGCACCAGATTTGGTTGTGTGTCTGTGTTCATAGCAGTATGTGAATAGGCGTTCATGGTATAGAATAAAATTACAGAAAAGCAGAAGTTGTGGAGTAAACAAAAGACAGCAGGGGGCAGAGCAAGGTTAAACTGAGTGACTGAAAAACAACTGTATTTAAAAATTGGACAGAGCCTCAAACATTCAGTGAATGAAGATAGTAATACCAATAATTTCATAATTAAATTTGCAAAGACTTAGTTGTAAAAGAACATAATGAGGAACGTTCCTCAGGTGCTAAGTTAGTAGATTTGTTGAATGAACAGGGAATTCTGCCTCACTCTTTAGGTGGAATAAAAGACAGTCATATTTCTGTTTTTTTTTTTTTTTTAGAAATCCTCGTATAGATAAATAATGACATAATTGGCTCTCTACCTGGAAGAAATGAAAGTGATCCCCTAGCTCACATATCTTACTAAAAATTAAGAGGAATTAAAGACCTCAATATGAAAGTTAGCAATATGTTTGAGAAGAACATCCAGAAAGTGTCATATAGTGTGGTGCATGCCTGTAATCCCAGCTCTGGGTGAGACTGGATTGGCTCTCAGGTGACCTTAGGTACACGTTCTCGTCTTCCAGCTTCTCTGATGCTTTCTGCAGCACCTTCTGGACTCTCAGACTCACCTGGGTGGGTTCCAAATGGAAGGTCTCCTCATGGAACCAAATTCCTCCCTGGCTGTTTGATGAGAGAGACAGAAGCTGTTTCAAGACAAGACGTCAGGGAGGGGTCAAGCAGGAGGTGAGAGGATCAAGAATTCAAAGCCAGCCTCAGCAAAAGTGAGGCACTAAGCAACTCAATGAGACCCAGACTCTAAATAAAATACAAACTAGCAAATAGGGCTGGAAATGTGGCTCAGTGGTCAGGTGCCCCTCAGTTTAATCCCTGATACCAAAAAAAAAGTGTCATAAAAGTTCATAGATAGATAAAATTACCTTAAATAAGGCAAGAAACTCAGAAGTAATAAGATAGATTGTTCATTAAATAAAAAGTAAAACTTTTTATGGCCAGATGCACCCCTCCAAAACTCAAAGGAGAAACATCAAGTTAGAAAAATCCATTGAAATACTGATAACTGTAGAAAATGGACATTTGATAACAATAAGCTCATCAAAATTCTGCTCCATCTCAGAAGTAAGAAGTGCTTCCCTTCATTCTGTGTCCCTCCTCAGCAATGCATCTTATTGTTTTCCACCTAATTGTTTGCAAAGGTCCTGGGACACGTGCTGCACTTACACTGAAACCACTCTGAGCCTCCATGCCCTCTTCTGATGGGGCTGCCTTTGCCCTCTCCCCATGGTCATCAAGGACCTGCCTGGCATTGCTGAACTCTCTGTTCACTCCTCTTTTTAGCACAATAAATAAACACATCAATGAATTAATCAAATAATTCAGCAAACAATCTCATCAACCTCTCAGCTCCGGGCAAGAGCATTTGCCCAGATTGGCTCTCAGGCAACCTTAGGTACATGTTCTTGGCTTCCAGACTCTCTGATGCCTTCCTGCAGCACCTGCTGGGCTCTCGGACTCACCTGGGTGGGTTCTGGATGGATGGTCTCCTGATGGATCCTGATTCCTCTCTGGATGTTTGATGAGAGAGACAGAGGCTGTTTCAAGACAAGACATCTGGAAGGAGTCAATCAGCAGTCCCCTGCCAGATGCAGGACTCCAGAGAAAGCAACCACATCTCCTCCAGTCCAAGGCTGCACAGGCTGGGGAATGAGGGCAGGGGAGATACTTAACAGCTCAGGGTGTCTGCTCATTAGGCACATTTCCAACGCCAAACACATCATTTCCCTGTAGGATGTTGTTCTGCACCAAAAGCAATTTTTCTTACAAATTCTGTCTCCCCAATATATACAGGGTACATGTCAGGGGAATAGTCTTTATTTCTCTTTCTCATGAAATCTCCTGCCTTCCAGAGATCTAGGCTCCTAACACCTTATCCACGACCAAACCTAAAGTTTTCTCTGAAGTCTAAAGGGACAAGCCTGCCCTGTCTCATGGGTCCCTGAAGCCTGACTTCTTTTTGTGACACAGCCCCTGATATCTCTAGAAAATTTAATATTTCTGTCTTCAACAAGGGGGTGAACTGAGATCCCTTGATAAAAAGCCAAGACAACTAGAATAGTTGGCGTCATGAAACTCTAAAACAATTGAAATTGTCATGTTTATAACCTGAGTTAAGAGCTGTCACGTAACCATGTATTTATAGGACACTTGATAATTCAAAAACATATACTTAGATCTTTTTATGCACACTGCCTTGTGATTTACAACTTATAAGAATTATCCTTTTATCAATTTTTAAATAAAAGTTCATTCCTGAAATGAACATTACTCTCCTTTGTTCCTATATGAATACGCAACCCAGGTAACAAGAACAGAAAGTTATACTCCCTGTATGTAAGATATGTCAAAGTACATTCTATTGTCATATGTAATTTAAAAGAACAAATAAAAAAGTAGTATTAGAATTTTAACAGAGGTGCCAGCAACACACCTGTAATCCCAGAGACTAGCCAGGCTGAGGAAGGAGAACTGTAAATTCAAGGGCAACCTGAAGAAATTACTGATGCTCTCAACAACTTAGACTCTGTCTCAAAATTTAAA